TTCGTTTGGCTTGTTTTGTTTTACGGCATATCAACCTCAATGGGTTATTTAATGCCGACAAGATTTTTTTTTTATTGCTGCTAATATTTTTTTTCAAAAATGTATGGCTGCTAATATATTTTTTTAAAAATTCTTTGTTGATAATCATTTTTTACAAAAACGTATTGCTATTTTTACACTTTCATAGTGTTTTGACCCCAGTTTGGGGATTCACTATTCGGCCATAGCTGGGACCCTAACAGGTGCTGCCACCCTGGCTGGACCTGGAAACACCAGCAATTACGAGGTAGTTCCACGTTCCTCCAAACCTCCTGATCAGAAGCCTCACTGTAGGACGCGGATGTATTTTATCGTTTTACCCAAGACGGGTAAGCTATGGAAGACACGGTGTGACAAAATTCAATGTCCAATAACAAAAGTCAGTGAGTAATGTTATTGATTTTTCAAAAATGCGAATGTTCAGACGAACAACCTTCCTTAGTTTCGCCAGTTCTAACCTTCACTGCTAAGTCCCGTCATGCCACATACATTGTAGTAAACGACCATAATTTTATTTGTATTCCATTGTTTCACTCGAATAGCTTCTTCCCACGAACAGCTACCCTGTGGAACACCCAGGAGCATCTTGACTTGTTCAAGTCTAAGGTTGACCGTTATCTTCCCCACATATCCTCATAAACTGTGCCACTTATTCTGTAACCCTCTACCTCGAGTGGCTCTTGGATCTTAGTTTAATAATTTAGTAAATGCTTTTAAATTTATGAATAAAAAATCGTTTCTTTCCATATTGGTAAATAATAAATATTGCATCGCATTAGTTTCAATTGTATTATTTTTATAATGTTGTAAATATAAAAAATAATCTTGTAAATAAACAATCTATTCTATTTTTATTGTAAATTCTCAAGAACAAAAATTATATAAATTCACTTTCATCGTATATTTAGCGTCCTGGGTATGACGATAATCTGCATCCGCGTCCTGGGTAAGACGATAAACTATGTCCAACAGCAAGACCTCTGATGAGGAGGTTTTGAGGAGCGTGGAACCACCTCTTAATTGATGGTGTTCCCAGATCCACCCTGACCCCGGGTAGTAGCACCTGTTAGGGTCCTAGCTATGGGCAAATAGTTAACCTCGAAACTGAGGTAAAAAGCATTATAAAAGTGTAAAAATAGGTTTTAATACCAGAAATACTTTGTAAAAAATTATTTAACAGAAATAAATTTTGAAGAAAAAAAAACTATTCCCAGCAATATATTTTTGAAAAAAAACATTACCAGCAATATATTTTTGAAGTAAAAAATCATTACCAGCAATACATGTTTTAAAATAATATTACCAGCGATACATTTTTGAGGAAAAAAATATTACCAGAAATAGATTTTTGACAAAACAAAATATTACCAGGAAAAAAAATGTTGTCGTCATTAAATAACACACTGAGGTTGATATGCCGTAAAACACAACAAAACAAAAACAAAACATCATATCTTTGGATTTTATTACAATTTTAATCATCACTTTTTAAAACAATAAACATTGTCGAGGAGTGAAGGTAGTTAAAATAATAGCGGTGTCAAGGGAAAGACCATCTTTTTGACATTCCGGTTTTTTTTTTTTCTTTTGTTTTTTTTTGTTTTGTTTATTTTTTTGTTTTTTATTTTTATTTTTGCGGACACGAAGGTTAAAGTTTGTTAAATACTTCAACGTATGCCTTAGAACGCCTACCACGCGTCCCAGTGAAATATCGACGCCGGCGAGATGTTGGTGGTGGGGGCGGGACAACTGTTGACCTAAGCCAAAGTGCACGCGATTTAGCTCACAATTTAAACTTGCCTTGTGCTACATCCCGCTACCGTTAGTGTTGTTGTGGTGGTGGTGGTGGAGAAGTGGGTAGCAAATACTAGTTTGACCAGAGTGTCAGGCATCCACGGTGCTATAGGGCGGAAGATTCAGTCCTCGCCTTTTGCTGAAACTGAGAACGAAAGATTTGTTTTCCTCGCCTCAGTCTATGACAATGCTATTGAAACCATTTTTGTCATTTGTCTAAAATCGCAACTGCTATTTATTTTCAAAATAAATACTAAAACTTTCCGTTTATTGAAATATTTTTTTATAAACATATTTTTAGGATTCACCCTCCCATCTTTTCCTGGAACGACAATATAAGATTTATAAGCGAAAAAATCTATTGGTTTTATTGCAGAAAAATCCTGGGTATGACGATAAACTATTAAGACCTTGAATAAGTTATCGCTGTTTTCAAACAAATGGCGTTCCCAGAACTGCGTGCATGTAGTTTCAAATGGTAACGCATCTATAAGGAAGTACTATAAGCAAGCTTGAAATTCCGTGTATGTCATTTCGCCGAAGTGTAAACAACTTTGCTTTTTCATAGCGTTAAACATGTCGGATTTCGTGTCAAAGAAAATGTATTTACAGGGAATTTTACTATACTACTTTATTCAAAAGAAATCTGCAGCTGAACCACACAGAATTCTTGTTGAAACTTAGGGCGATCATGCTTTTTCAGAATCAACATGCAAAGAATGGTTTAGACGCATCAAAAATAATGATTTTGATGTTGAAGGTAAAGAACGCTCTGGCACATCGAAAAAGTTTGAAGACGAAGAATTGTACGCATTACTTCATGAAGACTCATGTTAGGCGCAAGCTGAACTTGCAGAATCATCAGGACAACAGTTTCGAAACGTTTCGAACGGCGTCTTTTCATATGTGAACAGTTGCTTCTACGGCAGTAAAAAGAAAGATTTTTGCATCGTATCGTGACTGGCGATGAAAAGTGGATACACTACAATAACCCTAAGCGTAGAAGATTGTGGAGTAATCCTGACCATGCATCAATGTCTGCAGCAACGCCAAATATCCATGATTCGAATATTCTACTCTGTATTTGGTAGGATCGGCTGAGTGCAGTCTATTATGAGCTGCTCAAAACGACCGAAAATATCGCGGAAGATTGCTATCGACTACAATTGATGCGTTTGAACCGAGCATTGAAGAAAAAATACGAACAGAGACACGACAAAGTAATTTTGCAACATGACAACGCTAGGCCACATGTTGCAAAACGGGTTAAAACCTACTTGAAAACGCATAAATGGGAAGTCCTACACCACCCGTGGTACACACCAGACATTGCCCGGTCTGATTACTACTTGTTCCGATAGATGGCACATGGCCTAGTTGAGCAGCACTTTCATTCTTAGGGTCGATTCGTGGTTGGCCTCTTTAAGATGTATCGTTTTTTTCCGACGTGGCATCCTGGGTATGACGATAAACTACATCCGCGTCCTGGGTAAGACTATAAACTACGTCCAACAGCAAGGCCTCTGATCAGAAGGCTTTGAGGAGTGTGGAACAACTTCTTAATTGCTGGTGTTCCCAGGTCCACCCTGACGTGGGGTGGTAGCACCTGTTAGGGTCCCCGCTATGGGCAAATATTTAACCCCGAAACTGAGTTAAAAGCATTATGAAAGTGTAAAAATAGGTTTGAATACCAGAAAAACTTTGTAAAAATTATTACCAGAAATAAATTTTTGAATTAAAAAAAACTATTACCAGCAATACATTTTTTAAAATAATGTTACCAGCTATACATTTTTGAGGAAAAAAATATTACCAGAAATAGATTTTTGACAAAACAAAATATTACCAGGAAAAAAAGTTGTCGGCATTAAATGCCATAAAACAAAATAAATCAAACCAATTTTTCCGACGTGGAATTCAAATGCGGCGAGAAAGATGGCAACAAATAGTAGCTAGCGATGGACAATACTTTTAGTGATATGTTTCTTATTAATTTTTGTAAATAAAACATTACTTTTCATGAAAAATCAGCGAGAACTTAAGGTCTTAATACACCCGGCAGCAAGGTCACTGATCAGGAGGTTTTGAGGAGCGTGGAACCACTTCTTAATTGCTGGTGTTTCCAGGTCCAACCTGACCCGGAGTGGTAGCATCTGTTAGGGTCCCAGCTATGGGCAAATAGTGGACCCCAAAATACTATGAAACTATAAAAATACATTTTTATAGCAAAAATACCAGCAATATATTTTTATTTAGTAAAATGACTAACAGTGCCTATTTAGACTTTATCTGTAATTGACGGCATAAAAGTGCGTTCAAAATATATTTAGTTGAAGCCATAAAATTGTGTTCAAAATATTTAGATTTCGATATTAAGTAACCCATAGGAGATGATGTGCAGCTAAACATAATCAACTAACCAACAATACCTATTTATGGTAAAATGACCACCAATCCATTTAAGAGTAGATAGAATTACCAACTGTACATTTTATACCAAAATGACCAAAAAAACATTATTTGTAGTTGAAGGCATACAATTGCACTTAAAATATATTTAACTGAAGCCATAAAATGTGTTCAAAATATTTAGATTTTGGCATTATATAACAGATAGAGGTTAAAATTGATATCATCTGAGTTTGTTTAGCGGCGTATAAACGATATGCCGCTCGGCAAAATCAAGTAAAAACAAAACATTGCAGATAATGAGTACAATAAAAAAAATGTCTATTTAAAATCAAAACAAAAAAATGTTTACAATAGATCTTGTAAATTCAAAAAACAATTGCTTGTTTTATGAGAGGATCAGGTTTAAAAAGAAAAAAAAAAGTAGAGGCGGGCCTCTTTAAAACTTAATATCAACTTTATTTCCGACTACTTAACATCTGATTTAGCAACCACCGCCCCCACTTTTTATTTTATGTCGCCCTACATGTTCCGCTGATATAATCTGTCAATATTTGGTTTTGTGTTACTCCTAAAGGAGTGTTGGGTCATGCAAACACTTTATTATACTTGAAAACTAAACCTATAATAAAAATATCAAATATTAATTTGAAGCTGAGAAATAGTGACAGGCCTAGCGACACAATACCAGGGCTTTAAAATGCTTAGCTTACTGACGCCATTTCTTCTTTACATCAGATGATAAAAAGAATCCGTGTCCACGCTGAAACACTGGTTCTCGTCCGATCAACAACATTAAGCAACATCGAGCTTGGTTAGTAACTAGATGGGTGACCGCTTGTGAATACCAGGTGCTGTAAGCGTTGATGGGATAAGAAATCAGTGAGACAAGTTCGAATTCCAGTCGCGTTCGTTACATGCGCTTACGCGAAAATAACCCTGAGGAAAAAAAGGTATGAATCCATCTCTTCTTTAAGGCATGCGTTAAATAGCAGGGTAGACTGGGTCCTACAATCTTGGTTGAAAGTAAGGACAGCCTACTGCGAGAATTGTTCTGTCAAACCAATCATGAATTGAAAAAGTGACATTGTTGTTTTTTACGGTTTATCAACACTTTGTGGATTATTTAAACCCGAAATATATTACATATTGTAAGAATTTTTTGGCGCTTGAATATTGCATTAAGAATAACAATAATTTTTCCAAATACAAGTCCTACTATTTAACCCATAGATGGGCGGACGAGATGGATTCATAACTTTCCCAAGCGTATTTGAGAATAATTGAATGTAATAAAACAGACTAGAATTCGAACACGCTTCTACGATTTTCTCATTCCAAGAATCTTACCCATTGCGCCGCCCGCACATCCACCGAGGAAGTCAAGATAATTTCAATATTTCCATCTATTCATATTATTCGTATTTCAAGTGTAAAATAATTTATGAAATAATAAATTTTGTCAATAAAAGTTAGATTACTTGCATTATTCGGACTGCTATCCTCATCTTCATTGCGATATTCACAACGTTTCGGCAGTTGTACGCTCCGGTCTTCAATATGTGTCTATATCTCTGTGATGAAGTATTATGATTACTTGCATTACTTACATTGTTCAGACTGTTATCCTCATCTTCATTGCCATATTCACAACGTTTCAGCCTCTATATCTCTGAGATGAGGTATTATGATTACTTGCATTATTTGCATTATTCGGACTGTTATCTTCATCTTCATTGCCATATTCACAACGATTCGGCCTTCTTCAGGTGATTGGAATTTTTCTTCAATATCTATCTATATCTCTGAGATGAGGTATTATGATTACTTGCATTGTTTACTTCATTCGAAATGCTACCCTTATCTTCATTCTCATATTAACAACGTTTCGGCCGTTGTACGCTCCGGCCTTCTTCAGGTTATTGGAATTTCGAATCGAACCCTTTATTTCGTCCACCGGGTAGATTGTTCTAGTTCCACGTGCCATGCCTCTTCCGCATGTCTCAGTTATTTCCCTTTAACTCAACTCTCCAAGTTTTGGCTCACCACTGCTGTAGCCTGGAATTGAACTCACAACTCTTTGGGTCTAGTCACTATATCTAACCAACGTCTTTATCCACTGGCCCATGTGAATAGACAGATACAAATGTTAGATTATATAAAATCGTTTCATAAATTAAACCACAAAGAACCGTTGGAAGTGCTTAGTAACCTCAACATATTTGGGAAGGATATTAGAATAATCCAGAACCTGTACTGGTAGCATACTTCCTGCATACGGATAAAAAAATGGATTTAGTAAATATATAAAAATAAGACGGGTGTAAGACAAGGATGTGTCTTCTCGCCAGACTTATTCAACCTAGACATTCGGGCGATTCTGAGATAATTAGAAGTCCCACCAGTATTCATTTTTGGCAGTCAAAATCTCAACAGCATAAGATATGCAGATGACACGGCGTTGATAGCAGATACAGAATGGAAACTACAAGAACTCTTACAGAACGTAGTGAAAGAAAGCGAGAAGAAAGGTCTAAACATCAATTGCAAGAAGACGGAATCCATAGTTGATAGCAAAAGAATCAACCCAACATACAAATTACAAATTAGATATACCAAAATCAAACAAGTACAATTGAAAGTGCTTTAAAATAGGAAGTGTTTTTAACACAGGACGGAAAGTGTAACACTGAAATCCGAAGGTGTATTGGAATAACGTAAGACAAAGTTTTTCAAGAGTGGGTTAGAGAAAATTTTAAATCCGCAAACCCTAAAAGGTAGATTAGGCAGAAAAGAGGAAAAACTTTATGAAACTTTTTGCACTAATGGATTAATTTCGTTATTATTTTCATTTGTGTATGTTGATTTAAAATTTTTCATCATCATTCGATTTCTACTATGGACACAAACCCTGCGGAAAAGGTAGGATCGTGGTGTGTTGTTATGGAAATGAAGTTGCTAGCGTTACATAGAAAAGTTCTTTAGTGTGTGCTGTACTTTTAAGACAATTTTCTGTATGTCTCTTAAGCTGGGGTTTGGATTCTTTCAATTTTGTTCCATTTTATAATTCCAAGTGCACCTATTTGGTATTATTCTTGTTTTCAATTCCACATTTTTTCTATTTCAATTTATGTATTTTGAGTTTTTCAAATTCCTTGGTTGCTATGTTATTATTATTATTATTATTATTATTATTATTATTATTATTATTATTATTATTATTATTATTTCCTTTAATTTCTGTTATATACCCATTTCCTTCCGGGTCTCACCCAGAGACCTAAGGTCAGAAATGGTTTCATGACATTTTCCATTGATCATTAAAAAAAAAAAACAAAGATCACACATATTACATAAAGTTCTTCGTAATCTGTGAGCTGTACTAGAGTTTTTTTTTTTGTATTTCTTTAAGGCATGTGCTACCAGAAATCCCTTCAATGAGTCTATTGGACGCTTTTCTAATCAAGCCGAGGTCTTCAACTAAAACTGGGGTTATTGATGTCCTCTTGTGCCACAGCCTTTATATTTCCACTTCTTTGTATTCTTGAAAGTTTTTTTCAAAGATCACTAAAATACATTACAATTTGCGGGGACTACCATGTCAATAAAAAGCACATACTGTTTTTCTGGTCTTTGATCACAATGTATGGGCGATTAGCTTTCATTGTTCTGTTTGTGTATATTTTAAAGTCCCATTAAATTTATTATTATCATTATCATTTGTGTATATTATATTTCCTGCTTTGTATCCTGTAGAGCTGGGTCCAAACTATGGTCCTTATGCCCTATAGGAGAATTGTCATTTAATTGATAGCACTTAGTATATGGCATGGCCCTAGTAGTGCTATCTTCTGGGCAACTTGTATGTTGATGTTACCTGAAACATTGTGAGAAAAAGTGTTCATTCCTTTTCTCACGAGGCCCAGTGCTCCGATTACTATTGGTACAGTTTCAGTTTTCATTCCTTGTTAATGTCGATCTCCAGGTCCTTAAATTTTAACAATTTCTCGATAATTTTCATGGAGGTGTTTTCTCTCAGATGGTACTGTTATGTCAATAAGCATACAAATCCTGAATTTTTTGTCTTTTATGATATCAAGTCTTGGCATGTCCCAGAGGATAGTTACATCGTTATTTTGGGTAACTGTCTGGTTGGTGCTCATACCATTTCTCAGTGGTTTCAATTTTGGGCTTCTTGGATATCTTCCAGTGAATAAATGTCGCTACCTTCTTATGTCTGTGGGTATATTCAGTTTTTGCTAGTTCTTGACATTCTGAGATAATATGGTCGTCAGATTCATTATTATTATTATTATTAAATATGTGATAAAATCGTCCTGGGACAGAAAGTTCATCTGACCGGAAATGAGTTAGTAAATTTGTTTTGAATACATCTTCATTTTTTAGGCCATTCTTCCAAATCGAGAGCGATAGCCCCAAACTTTTGGCATATAATATAATATACAGAGTGTTCCCAAAAATTTCACATCATTTCGCAGGCCAATAATTTTGGCAATTCTTCTTGAAATAACCTCAAATTTTCACAGAATTTATAGAAACAGATCAAGATTTTATATTTAATGCTTTATTTTTGTTCTGTTTTCAGGTTGGGCGTGCCGTTCACTCCCAAAGTGGTGTAGATGAAGACAGTTTTCTGATGAAATGGCCGCCGCGGTCACCGGACCTGTCCCCGTGTGATTTCTTTTTATGGGGATATGTGAAGGGACTGGTCTATGTCCCCCCCCATTCCTGCTAGCGTTGATGTACTCAAGCAGAGAATCACTTCCGCACTTGATAATGTTACCGGAGACATACTACAGCGTGTTTGGCAAGAGCTTAACAACCGACTTGACGTGTCCCGTGTCACAGGCGGTGCACATTTTGAGCACTTATGAAATCGGTCCCATAATAAACTTATGATGTTCAACACCTAAGCTGTTCAATATCATTTAGCTAAACTTAGTAGTTTTCAAGATACTTGCTTTTAAAATGATGTCAGATTTTTTTTGGACACCCTGTATATGGTAGATCTCAACTAATGTAGTCTGGGCTGACATGTGTATGACCTCAAGGATACTAGCGTAAAATTTACAATAGAATTAGTGACAGACTACTTTTTAAGTCTAGAGTTACTAAATTTGGATTTCGCTATTGCGATCTTTGGAACTACTTTTAAAATAAGCAGGACTAATTTGGTCTGATTTCACCTAAATAGGGACTAATTTGGGATACTTTCACTTAAATAGGGACTAATTTGGGAAACTTTCACCTTGATAAGGTTTAACTTGGGCTGCTTTTACCTCAATAGGTACTAATTTGGGCTACTTTCAACCCAAACTGTCAATTTTACGCAGCAGTAGAAAAAAAAACATCTCAATTAAAATGTGTGAATAAATAAAAGTTAAATATTTGAAAAGCAATTACTTTATTAAGCAACAAATTTGGAATTTTATGTATTTCTACAGGGAATACAGTATTTAAGTTGTACGTAATATATTACGTAGATATGCCTTCCTATACGGACCACAATGATATTTTCATTTGCTTTCTGCTTCCATCCTTAAAAAAAAAAAACGAAAAAAAAGGAAGATAATACAATTGCCATACACCATTTTTTTTTTTTTTTCATTTTTTTAAAAATCAATTCATCCCAAGCAAGGCGATAATGTCACTAAGATGCAAGGGGTTACTAAAAATGAAAGAGAATGAGAAGACTTTATAAGAAACCGGAAACCCAATACTAAACAGAAAACATGAGATATACCTCTACTCCTGTTCAAAAAGACCAAGGGGAGTATGACCTCAAGGATACTAGCGTAAAATTTACAATAGAATTAGTGACAGACTCTTTTTAAGTCTGA